TTTTTTTTTTTTTTTTTTAATCTCACTAAGGAGAAACTTACTGGGGCAAAGAGCCGATGGCTGCCCTGCCCCACACGGCAGGGGCCTCCTATGAATGTAAGACTGAAATCACCAGCGAAAGGGAGACGTCCAAAGTGCTGGCCACGGCCTTATTTGAAAAGGGGCAGGCCCTCTAATTTAAATTTTTTTAATAAAGTAGACACCACTGAACAAGGAATGTACTGAAATGACTTCCTTAGGGATAGAGCTAAGGGATAATAACTTGCACTAAAATACATTTAAATACTTGATTCCATGAGTCAGTTTATTGTAGTTTTTGATTTCTGTAAAATAAGAGAAACTTTTTGTATTTATTATTGAATAAGTGAATGAAGCTATTTTTAAATAAAAGTTAGAAGAAAGCCAAGCTGCTGCTGTGACCTGCAGAACTAACAGACCCTGTTACTTTGTACAAATATGTAAATATTTTGAGAAGAAAATACAGAATAAGAATAGTTATTGACCAAATGCTATCAGGCTCGGCAGCAGCTGGGTGCTTATAAGGTGTTCTTGGGATGCTACAATATAGTTTTATGTTATTAAACATGTCATTGTAATTATGTCATAACCAAAATTTCAACCTAGAGTGTTTGGGATTTTTTGGGAACTATGGTCTATTAGTACTGAATTGTTTTATAAACCTTAATTCTGATAGAACGGGAGTGTATGCTATGACTACAACTTTTATAGCTGTTTTGGTAATTTAAACTAATTTTTTCCTATTATATTGTTGCATCCCTACTTCTTCAGTCAGGTTTTTTGTGCTTACAATTTGTGATAACTGTGAATAACTGCTTAAAAATACACCCAAATGGAGGCTGAATTTTTTCTTCAGCGAAAGTACTTTTGATTAGAACTTTGTTTCAAGCCGCAAAGAATCATGTAAACATAATAGGATAATGTAGCAGGAACTTAAATCTAATTCTTTAGCCTTCTATTTAACACAAAAAAATTTGAAAAAAAAAAAAAAAAAAGATGTGATTATGCTTGCAGCTGCAGGACTCCGGCAATAGGGTTTTGAAAGATGTAATTTTAAAATGTGTTTGTATGAACTGTTTGTTTACATTTCTTTAATAAAAAAACAAAAACAAAACAAACAAAAAAACCCACCATTTTGTGTTTGCTTGTAGAAATTTAATCAGCATTTTGAAGCAGGTTAGCTTTTTATTTTGTACTTAAAATTCTGGTACTGACACTTCACAAGCTAAATGTAAAATGAAGTTCTTTTGTGTGCACAATAAAGTGGACTGTAAGCTGTGAGTATATCAGTGATACAGTTCTCAACTTGTAATGTATATGGCATGATGTATTTTTATCTTACAGAATAAATCAAGTGTATATATTTTTCTCTTGATAAATAGCTGTATGAAATTTGTTTCTTGAATATTTTTCTTCTCTCGTACAATATTATGACATCCTACCAGTATTTGTCCTTTCAGGTTTTTGTTTTGTTTTGTTTTCTGTTCTGTATGATAGTATCTAATGTTGGCAAAAATTGAATTTTTTGAAGTATACAGAGTGTTATGGGTTTTGGAATTTGTGGACACAGATTTAGAAGATCACCATTTACAAATAAAATATTTTACATCTATAAAGTCTGCCGCCTCAAGTTTCTCTGCGCCAGTCTAATGCTCTGATTGGTGCTCTTCAAGCCACGGTTGCCTAAGAATCACTGACGGTGAAGTTTACCTTTCAGAATTACTAGAGTGGTGACAAATAGAATCAACTTGATTCTTTTCAAGTAGAGTGTTTAACTACATGCTCTGTAACTCATTCCACCTAGACACTCTCATCCCTGCAGTTCAATAAAGGAGAACGTCTGTTTCCTTTTAGATGATTTCCAGGGTCACATTTTAGAATATTCTTTGTGCTTGTTTCCATTGTTTAAAGTATTTTCTTTCTTTGGAGAACAAACAAGATGGCAGATCGGGTGGAAGTGCAGTAAAGAGCTCCACCAGCAACAACACAGAACACAGGACCAAACAGGCTCAGGGGATGGTCCCAGAACTCTGAACCACATATAAAGGAATACTTAGAAGGTTGGAAGGCTTACAGCTGGGGGAATTTGTGGCAGAAGCAAGAAATCCATTGTTTTCTAGTCTGGGATGCTCAGCTGCTCCAGGAGCCACCATCTTGGGTGAGACCAAGTGGGGGAAGGATCAGAGCAGCTTCGGACGCCTGACAGAACTGCGGAGATAAAGGTGTGGACATTGTTTTCTAAAGTATTTTCTTTCATTGTTAAATTTAGTCTCTGCAGGCTTTTTTTATTTTTACGAAGTAGCTCTTCTTGCCGTATTTTAATAGAGATTATTGTATTAATCATATATAATTTTAGGGGTTGCCAGGAATAAAAGCTGCTCAGACACCCCCTCACAGCTCCCCAAATAGATTTCTAACCTGTGCTCTATGAACTCCAAAATAGCAAGCTGTTTGGATTGCACTGATTTATCGAAATCCTCAGAGTTTCCATAACCTGGGGAGAAAAAATTTTTTAACTATTGTACAACATTTCATGTTTGTAAACATAACCTTTTGGATAGAGTCGGGTAGTGTTAAGGACCCTGGCATTCTTTTGAGAAACTTGGCGGAGTTGTCTTCTCTACTGTCTTGATCTTAAAAGATCAGACACATGAGGATGAAAACAGCTGCAGTTCATCACAGTCTTGGATCTGACCTCTCATTGCCATACACATGCCGCTCAAGGCAAAAAAGGTATTTCTCACCTTCAGATTGATTCGTAAAAGAAGAAGTAAGGCCTAAAAGGCACTGAGGACACCATAGTGCATGAAACCATAGCACCTCAGAGCTTGTATTCAAGTGGGGGGACAAACAAAAACAAGTAAGCTAGGTTTTGAAGGAGTCCTGGTGTGGCACTGCAGGATAATGCACTGGACTGCAAGATGTTTCAAACTCCAGCCGCTCCTTGGAAACACTATACAGGGTCACTGTAGGTCAGAACCAACTCAAAGGCACTTAACAACACCTGGGGGTCAGGCAGAGGCATTCCTTAACCTGACTTGAATAACAGAGCTTACCTTGGGAGGCAGAAAGGCAAAGGGCTTCCTGGAAGGAGAACATGCGTGTGCAAGTAGCCAGATAGAATCACGGAAAAGCAAGGACCAAATCAGTCAAGGGGTCTGGGTTGTCTAAACACAGTAGGAAGACTTTGGAGAATTTTATGCAAGAAAGGCTGTGGTCTAGTTTGTATACAAAAGATTGCTTGTGCTGCTAGGCAGAGAAGAGCTGGTTGTATGTGTGTCACTGTGGATTAATGTGCTGGACTGCAAAGTCAGTATGAACTGTAAGGTCGGTGCTTCAAACTCACCCGTACCTTGGAAACCCTATATAGAGTCATTGTGAGTGGGAATCACTTGATGGCACTTAACTAACAAGAGGGTTCTGCAGTGGTCCAGGCTCTAGTAACTTGGATTGAGTAGTAGACTGCAGTGAAAGTGGACACAATTAGGAAGTGAGCAAGCTATGTGTTGAAGGTAGACTCAAGTCCCATGATTTACATATGTGGTTGAGGACGTAAAGGGAGTGATTCTGGATGACTTTTAAGTTTATTTTGTTGTAAAGAATATAAACGGCATACACCAATTCAGGTTTTTACATGTGCATTTCCTTAACATTAATTACATTCTTTCTCTTCCACTAACATAAACTCTCGGCCCCCTAAGGTTCCTATCTAATCTTTTGAATTGTCAGTTTTATCCCATATAGAAAGATCCTAAAAGAGCCATAATACCTAACACAGCCATTCTCTACTAGTTAAGCTAAACTACCATTTAGATATTTTTGGTTAAAGGTTTAAAAATTATCTCAGGACAATAGTTGCAAGGATTCAAACAGCTTCCATAGACCCAGAAAGTGCATTCCATGAGACTGAAGTTTTGCTCTACCTTTCGCCTGCTTTTGATCAAGATTCTTCTATAGAATCTTTGTTCAGAATACTGAGTAATGGTAGCAGAGCACCATCCAGTTCTTCTGGTCTCATGACAAGGCAATTGTTTGTGAAGTCTTTTAGCCTTGTAGTCTGTGTTTTCTTTTCCTAACTCCTTCCTCTCTTGCTTCAGGTTATTAGAAACCAATTGTTGTGCATCGATGGCTGGTTGCAACTCTTTTAAGAAACCAGAAGCTCTAAACAAGGTAGTAGGCCAATAAACTAGAATGTTTCATGAAACCATGACCCTAAACCTCCAAACGAAGGAACCAAATTCCAGTAAGTGTTTGGTTGCACATAAGCAGCCTCAAAAGTTACGTTTTTTGTCACTGTAAATATATCACACATCTTTTGCCAATTCAACTTTTTATGTGTGTGCAACTTACTGA